TATGTTCATCCAGCTCTACACCTTGTTATCTCATCATTCTGATATCTCGTTGTTGGCCACAGAAACATCTGGCTGTGCCTCTGACTAGAGAATCCCCTAACACAATCGGTCGCTTGAAACCTGACATACCCTTAGTTACAGTACAGACAGTCTAAGTACCAGAAACCTGGTTGTCTGTGCTACATTCCCCTAAGAATCCAACAACCCCTACATAAGAGAGAGGACAGAGGAGATTTACAATGGTGCTACCTGGACCAGAGACTGTCAGTTTTGAGGAAAGACTGGATAGGCTGGAATTGCTATGTTAGAAACAAATGAGAGTGACGGCAGATTTAATTGGAGTGCATAAAATAGATGGGACACTCCACAAGAGGTCATGGAGCTATTAAGGTCTACAGCACAGAAAAAGGTCTTTGGCCCATTGAGTCAGTTAAAAACAACCATCTAACTACTCTAATCCTCCTTAAAGATCTCTAAGCAGAGGGCATAGGTTGGGGCAGGAGCTTTAGAGGGGATTTGAAAGGAGTGTTTGTCACCTAGTAGTAGTGGGTGGTCAGGAACCTGTTGCCCAAAGCAGTCGGAGAGGCAGAAACTCTCGTAAAGAGTTAAGAAATTCCTTAACACTCGCTCACAGGGTGTAGACCAGGAGCTGGACAGTGAGATAAGCTGCAATAGCTATGTCAGCCAATATGGGCATGGTCAGCCAAATGTACTACCTCTTGTGCTATAAATTTCTAATGTTCCATGGAAGACAGAATTTACATGGCAAACAACTGGCGACATCTTAACCAATTAAGTGTTTGTTGAAGTGTAGTCACTGATGAAATGTAGGAGAAACAGCAGCCAATTTACGGTCAACAAGGTCCTACAGTATTACAATGAAGAATGAGCAGACTGCCAACAATGTTACTCGAGTGATAAATATTGGCCAAAATAATGGGCAGATGTCCCTCATTCTTTTCTCAAATCACGCAATGGGATCTTTTACATTGATGAGGGGTCACTGGACTTTGAGTTAGTGTCTCAATCAAAAGACTCACCAGCAACAGTGCAGCACCCCCTCAGTGCTCCATTGGCAATCCATAGTTCATCGGTTCAATGCTCTGGAGTGGATCTCAAACTCCACAAGCTACCAACTGAGCCACACATAAAGTCCTCTGCTCTGGTAGGTGATGTCAAGAATAAAGTTGTTCAAAGGTTATTGGGGAAAATAATCAGGAATGTAGAGTTGAGGTTAAAATCAGATCAACTATGATCTTATTAAATATGCAGCAGGCTCAAAGGGCCACGTGGCCTACTCTTGCCCCTTGTTCTTACGTTCAGAATTAATCATCAGTTTTGACAAGTTTAAAGGATAAGTTTGTCACAATCAATACATTTTTGCTTCCTTGTTCATTAATAAAACCTAGTCTGGTTTCTTTTCACGTTATCTAGGAGTCACAGTCAGACATTAACCATCGTTGAGTCTAAGTTAGTCATGTTTCATGTTTGTAACAACTCAGTTTGTGGGATGTAAAAACATAGGAGCAGGAGTAGACAGAGTGGGCTTTGGTTTTTCAGTACCAGGCCAAGACGCAAGTCCAGAGCTAAAAAAGATGTGAATGAGAGGTTCAGCCTCAGATGAGCTGAGACAAGGGTGCGGATGGACAATGCTGTAGAAGTGGATTCAGATAGTGTGAGTGGTGTAGAGCTGAGGGTGGAAACTCATCTCATCCCCAAATTTGAAGATTCTGAACAGACTGGTTTTGTCACAGACTGTCAATCGCATAAGGAATGGAGTTAGTGAGAAATGCAGCTTGGAGAGGTGACTAAAAACAATGGCTTCAGTCTTCCCAATATTTACTGGGGAATGCTTTTGCTCAACCAGTTCTGGAGATGTCAGATAAGCAGTTGGTAACCTGGCAACAAGGTAGGAGGTGGAGAAAGGGGCATGCTAATTGGTAGAGTTGATAATTGCCTGTATACACGTGAAAACTAACCCAGGTTTTCAGCCGACATTTCGGAATACCAGCATCCACATATAAACTACACAGGGAGGTGATGGCCTCGTGATATTATCACTGGATTGTTAATTCAGAGTAAACTGTTCTGGGGGTCAGGTGATAGAGAAAGTCTGTAATCGAGTTTGAATCCCTCTATGGCAGAGGTGGAATTTTAATTCAATAAAAGTCTAGAATTAAGAATCTATTGATGACCATGAATCCATTATCAATTGTCAGAAAAACCCATCTGGTTCACTAACATCCTTTAGGGAAGGAAACTGCTATTCTTACCTGGTCTGGCCTACATATGACTCCAGACCCACAGTAATATGGTTGACTCTTAACTGCCCTCTGGGCAGTAAATGCCGGCCTGGCCAATGATGCCCTCATCCCGAGAATGAATAAAAAAAAAACTGCCCACCATTAAAAAATATTAACCCACGTAGCGGCTGCACCCCCAGATACATGAACATTTGAGGCCATTTTGCAGGTTTGTGCTGTAGTGAAAAATTACACAAACAGAAAAGCTGAAAATTCTCAGCTGGTCTGGCACCAACTTTGGAGAGAGAATCAGAAATAAGGTTGATAACCTTTCATCAGAATTGGGAAATATTTGCAAAGTGACAGGGTTTTAAAGTGAACACAGCAGGGGAAAGTGACGCGTGGGGGGAGGGGTTCAGGGGATAGGGAAGGTCTATAATTGGGTGAACCCTCGGAGAGATTAAATGAGAAAAAAGGAAGACAGTGCGAGGGAAGAGGTGTCAAATATCCAATGGTCAACCATGAGGCCAATTTGAAGGAAACACCTTTACTCAGGACATGGTTAGAATGTGGAGCTTACTACCACAGGGAGAAACTGGAGGGAATAACCCAGGTACAGTTGAGAAAGGAACTAGATAACACCATGAGGCAGAAATAAAGAGGACATGTTGATTGGGTGAGATTAAATGAAGTGGGAGGAGCTGTTGTGCTGTGTAAACACCAGAGGGAATCATATCTTCAAGGCAGACAGTGGGTACAATGAAAATATCCAAAATATTTCCTGTCATTCAACTCATTAAGTGTGATTTGTTTTTATAGCTGCCATGAATATTACAGGCCACAGCTGTCAGAGTGAACTGTGCACTATCTTTCAGAAGGGTGTGGTTCTGATGTACCCATTTAACATAGAGTACTGCCTCATTGCCTCAACCATGCTTTACATCATGTGGACCAACATCGGGAGGACCATCATTGGACACATGATTCACCCAACGCACAAGTTCAGAGGTCACGGCCTTGTTTGGGGGCCAATGTTGGGGTGTGTGGCTATAATCGTTGGATTGTGTATCTTCATCCTGTACCAGGTGGAGGTCTCTAGAGATCCGACACAGTTCAAACCCTTTTTGCAGTTTTATGTTTACCACATCATCCTGCTCTCTGTCATGTCTCTGTGCTCTCTGGCTGCTGCAGCCGTGCACAGACGGGAGGAGAGCAGTGTTGACACAAATGAGAATCCCACTCGCAGTCTGGATGTGGTCCTGTTACAGGTAGCTGCTCTCGGCCAGCTCTGTATCTCCTACTTCTCCATCGTGGCCATTGCATTCAGCTCTGTGCGACTGCCCCTCGACTTTCTCAATCTGACCTACTCCATACTGATAATCATCGAGCATGTGCTGCAGAACCTCTTCATTATCCAGGGTCTCCATAGACCACATGCCACACAGGAGCTAGCTATAAGCTCTGGAGAGATAAATGAGAAGGACCTTATTGCTGATCCTCAGCAGGAGACACTGGTTTTAGAGGAAACTCATGGAATCCATGACCCCAACTCATCAGCAACATCCAACACAAAGGCCACGGAACAAGACAACTCAAATGATCCTAATGGAGCGACAAACTGCTTCACCAATATGGACTTGAGAAGAACTTCCCAAGTGTCCCTCCAAATGGACAACAAACTCAACTGGAGGCGGAAATTCCTGAAGGAGATCTCTATGTTTATGCTCATGTCCAACCTCATCGTAAGTTACCTTTGGTTTCTTTACAATGTTCCCCCTCTTGTCCTTAGCAGGCGGATAGTTCCCCAGGAGCCAATGCTTCAATGAATGGCCATTCTATCTTTAGCCCAGACTGACTCTCTGAGGGAGTGCGGCATTGGTGGAAGGGCTGTCTTTTGGAAAGACATGAGTGAGCCCTTGCCATTATTCCAAAGAAGACCAGGAGGTTCTCTCTCTTTCATTTACCCACATGTCACTGAAATACATTAACAGGACACATCTTTTTCGAGGTAATCTTGTCTTACTTACCCAGTTGGGAAACGTCAAGATTGGATCAGCTCCTTGAGTTACTTCTCAATGGAGCTGAGTAAAGTAAAATCAGGCAGAGATTTCACTGGGTTGACTAGACGCAGGCATATTAAATAAAAACTCCAAACATGATCTTTAAAGGTTCACAATGTGTACATTATGCGCAGACGCTAGGTTGTCCAGATTGTGTGCAACGTGAGCTCTTTCCACATCTGTCATGTCCTTTAGGAATTAACAAGACTGTCTAAATATCCTCACAATAAACCTGACCACTCAATGAATAATCAAGGCAGTTTGATCTGATGTCTTTCTTTATTGAGACGTTTAATGCATGGACCAAATCTATTAGCACCTCATGATTGTGCTGGCTCATTGCAACAGTAAACTGAAGATAATCTCACTGCCTGTTTCTCCCTACAATCCTGTACGGCCCTCTGTTTATTATCCTGGAAAAGATGCAGCAGTCTCTGTCCTAACTTCTCCCTGTGGCAAAACACTCTGTGCATCTACCAACTCTTTGTAAAAGAGGTGTTCGCTAACTCTCCTGGATCTTCATGACCTTTTTAGAATTCACATCCCCTCAACACTGACCCCACAATCTTTCTCTGGCCATTCTGTGCAAACCGTTCAGAATGTGAACACTCAGTTAAACCTCCTTGTACCTTGTCTACTCTAGTGAAAACTGGGAAATCTTCACTGTACTCTCTCTATTGTGGGATGCCTCACCAATGCTCTTGAACAAATTTATCATTGCCTCTTTATTCTTGCTCACCATATGTATAAAGTCCAAAAACTTCACCTAAAATTTTAAAGTGAGTGGCATGGTGGCTCAATAGTGAGCACAGGTGCCTCACAGGGACTCGGTTCAATTCCACTGTCAGGCAGCTCTCTGTGTAGAGTTTGCGCATTCTCTGTGTGTCCATGTGGGCTTCCTCCGGGTGCTCTGGTTTCCTCCCACAGCCCAAAGATGTACAGTTTAGGTGGACTGGCCATGGGAAATGCAGGGTTACAGGAATGGGGTTGGTTTGGATGGGATGCTTTTTGGAGGGTTGGTGTGGAATCGATGGGCCAAATGGCCTGCTTGCACACTTCAGGAATTCTACGATTCTACATCACTAGAATGTTACTACAGTTTGAAAGTACTCTAAGGTTGTTCCATTCTGGAGCCCTTCTCTTCACTGAGTTGATTATCCCATTGCTTGCCTTCTTCAATGTAACCTGCTATAGGTTAGATAAACAACAAATGCCCTTAGACACTGACATATCAAACATTCTTAAAGCAGGTAATATTAAAAAAAAAGGAGCACAGGTAAACCATGGTCTCCCTTGAACACGCTCCCCCATTCAACACAATTGGACTGGCCATCTCACTTTACATTCCTGCCTACTTTCCCCATCCCTTGAGAGCGGCATGGTGGCTCAGTGGTTAGCACTGCTGCCTCACGGCACCAGGGACCTGGGTTCGATTCCTACCTCGGGTGACTGTCTGTGTAGAGTTTGCACATTCTCCCCATGTCTGCATGGGTGTGCTCTGGTTTCCTCCCACAGTCCAAAGATGTGCTGTCTAGGTGGATTGGCCATGCTAAATTGCCTGTAGTGTTCAGGAATGTGGAGATCTAAGTGGGTTACAGGGGGATGGGTTGATCTGGACTTGTTGGGCCGAAGGGCCTGTTTCCACACTGTAGGGATTCTATAATCTATGATTCCCTCAATCCCCGAGAGATTAATCACCTGTATGTATAAAGCTAAAGTATATTCAGCCCATAACCTTCTGAAGCAGAGAACTGCAAAGATTCACAACACTTTGAGCAAAGAAATTTCTCCTCAACGCAGTCCTGATGGATCAGTCCCTTACCTGGAGACTGTGCCTTTCTGTTCTAGATTTCCCCAATCAGGGACAGTCAGGTTCTATCCTGTCAAGCCCTTTCTGAAACTTGAATGTTTCATCAAGATCATCTCTCATTTTTCAAAACTCCAGAGTTTATTGACCTAACTTCCTTAGCCTCTCATCACAGGACACCCCTCATCTCAGGATCTAATCTGGTGAGCCTTCTTTGTACCACCTCCAACACAACTGTATCCTTTCCTTAAATATAGAGAGCAAAACTGCACACAGGATTCTGGGTGGGGTTTCACCAAAACCCTGGAACACTTGTAGCAAGACTTCTTTATTCCTTTAATCAACTCACAGTAAAGGCCAATATGCCACTTCCCTTTCCAAAAGTTGCTGCATCTGGATACTAGCTTTCTGTGTTCCTTGTGTGAAAAGACCCAAATCCATTTGAACATCAATATTTACAAGTTTCACGTGTTTGTTTTAAAAGTTATCTTCTTCTTTACTGTTATGGCCAAAGTGAATAAACTCTAACTTCCCCACATTGTACTTCACCTGCCAGTCACTGCACCTGGTGCTCTCTTGCGGCATCTTGGGGATCACGATTTATCTCCGCACTGAGCTGGGGGTCATAAGCAAATCCAGTTCCATCCCTCCTGTCTCGATGCCGTAGACATTAATACGACCGCAAATAGACTGGGACCCCAGCACTCATCCTTGTAGCTGTCCACTATTCCCTGACTGCCAGCTGGACAATGCTGCATTTATCCCTACTTTCTGCTTCCTGTCCATTAACCTCTTTCCATGACAATATATTAACCAACAACTCCATGGATCCTCTTCTTATGTGTAACTTTTCATGGGGCATGTGATGCCAGGGCTTTTGAAATCTAAGTACACCACATTGTCTGGCTCCCCTCTATCTGTGATGAGTTACATCATCAGAAAACTCAAAAAAAATTAAACACAATTTCCCTTTTGCATTTTTCCGATCAGACTTTGATTGCACTTGCCTTGCAGCTAATACCAGACCAACTGGCCCATAGCTCCCTGTCTTCGCTCTCCTTCAATAGGGATATATCATTCATGCCTGATGTATTTTTGTTGAACATTTTAAATTAGTTCCTTAAATGCTTTCAATCAGCTGAGACCATTCTAGAAATGCGCAGCATGGGCTCTCAATGACTGTATACGCATGGGGTTAGGTACAGAATAAAGCTATCTAATCCTAGAGGGTGAATGACTATATTTCATTCATTTCCAGCTCTGGGTTATGCCAGCATTCGGAGCTCACCCCCAGTTTGAAAATGGTCTTGAAAAACAGTTCTATGGATTTTCCGTCTGGTTTGCCATCCTGAATTTTGGGCTGCCACTGGGCGTTTTTTACAGAATGCATTCTGCTGGTAATCTCCTGGAAATCTATCTGACCGCCTGAACCCTCCATCTGAAACTGAAGAAAAGTCACTGCCTGATTATAACATCAATTATTAATAGAAGGCTTTGGAAACTGATTTTGACTAATGGACAGGATTGGAGAGAACTCTGTCATTTGGAACTCTGTTGGAATTCCAGTGCATTTGTTGAGGTTCCTCTAGATCTGATGTAGAGGTGAAGAAGGATCCAGGAAAGCAGTTTAGAAATTGAAGCGATGAAGAGAGAACAGATTTTAAATAAAAGTTATTTTCTTTGCGATCATGCTGCATATGCCTTATTGTATATTAACATTTGATTCTCCAAATGCAATGTCCAATCACTCAATGTGTGTAACAGGTAAAATAGCAAGGAACAGCATGAATTTCTCACAAGCAAAACAGAGAGAGAGAGGGAGGCCAATGTAGGGTGCAGTTAGAGAGCCCGCTAATGGAGAGGCAGAGATCAGCTCTAGGGAGAAACATGAAAGATATTAACGAATGCAATGATTTTTCAAAATATTAATCAGCCAGTCAAGGACACCCCATCATCAAAAGCCACCAATCCTGCTCAGAAACTGATCATTTGTCCGAATTCAAACCTGCTGATGAACAGAGCCAAAGCTGTTGCTGGCAGGGAGAGAATGTCAGGGGTAGGGCACTGCTAATGTTGTGTGTGGATGTTGATTTATGGGAAACCTTATTGTACAACAACAAAAACTATTTGTGTATGAGAGTGGAACAGTTTCCTCAGTGGAGGTTCTGGTCCTGTTGAGGTGGACAGGTGGCACACTGTGTCAGTGCACAGTTGATGGTATCTGATGTGGTGATGGCCCCTTGTGTCTGTCAGATATCACTGACAGTGAACAGCAGCACAATAACAGAAGCTGCACTGGGCATCCAGGATATTAGGAACAGGACAATGGGAAGTAATGCCCAAGACTTAGCTTGGAGCTGTGGTTCAGCTGAGGCATTCTCTCACTTCTGAGCCGGGAAGACTCTGTATCCATTCCTAGTACCTGAGTCAAACAGTTGAGGACAACTGCAGCACTGTCAGGTTGTAGAACTGTCGGGGAACAGCTCTGTCTGAGTGTAGATCTGTCAGGGCTGTAGCACTGTCCAGGTGTAGCTCTGTCCAAGTGTAGCACTGTCTCAGTGTAGCATTGTTGATGATACATTAAACTGATCTCTGACAGTGGTTTGTTAAAGGTTCTATAGTATGTTTTATAAACCAGCAGCAAGGTCTGTCCAGTGCCCCAGTTAATATCTATTGCTCAATAAACATCACTGATTTACTTCGTAATTGTCACTGCTGCTTATGGAAGTTTGTTGTGTGTAAATTGTTTGCTATGTTTCCTGTTATAACAGTGACCACATTTCATGGCACTTGAGATGTTTTAGGACTGGGAAACATTCACTGAAAGACAATATACAATAGGAGGTAAAATTCTAAAGGGTGTACGGGGAAGAGGGACTTGAGGTTGTATGAGCGCAGACCATTGAAGGTGGCAGGATAGGTGTACAGAGCAGTTAATAAAGTATAAAATGTTCTCAGTTTAATAGGGGCATCCTTCCACAATTCATAAAGTTGCTGGTATTGATTATGCCATTGTTCCACTCTTTCACCCAGTGAATGACTATAAGCTATTTGTCAGAACGTTTACTCACAAATACAGCATGCTCATATTCCAGTGGGAGTCACTGCAACAAAAGCCTTGGTCAACAGCTTCTCTCCCTGAGGGAGGGAGGATCAGATTATAGTCCTCATCAGCTGCTCCAGTGTATTGGGAATGTAAACCCGGGATTTTCTGATCTGAATCACGTCAGTACCAGCTCTCTGAAGCAATGTATCAAGTGCCATCCCTCCACTTATAGCCTGTAACCCTGAACATTCCTCCTTTACAGATCACAATCTCATTCCCTTTTAAATGCTTCATTCCATCTCAGTTTCAGGCAGTACATTCCAAAGCCGAACCACTCACTGCATGAAAGGAGTTTTTTTTTCACGCGACTGTTGTGTCTTTACCAATTATTTCAAATCTGTGCTGTCTCATTCTCAATTCTTTTCTAAGTGGGAAGAGTTTCTTCCTAACAGCTCTGTCCAGAGCACTCATGATTTTGAAAACTTCTATCAGATTCCGTTCTCCAAGGTGAACAGTTCCCGAATTCTCCGATCTGCCTTCATAACTGAAGTTCCCATCCCAGGAACCATCCTGCACTCTCGCCGGTGCCTTTACATACTTCCTAAAGTGTAGTGCCCAGAACTGAAGACAATCAAGCCAAACTAGCAACTTAAGCAAGTTCAACATAACCTCCTTACCCTCAGGCCTTGTTAGTAAAGCTGAGGATATTGTATGCTTACTCTTAGGTAATGGGTTCTAGAGTTACTGTTCTCGAGATACTGTATGCTTACTGTTAGGTAATGGGTTCTAGAGTTCTGACACAGCAAAGTATACCAATATATGTGGAGTCAGGGTAGTGCATGACTTGAAAGGCTGAGATGCACAGATTTTTAATCAGTAAGGGAATTAATGGCGATGGGGAAAAGGTAGAAAATTGGAGTTCTGGATTATCAGATTAGTGATATCTCATTGAACGGCTTGCATTTGCTCCTATGTCTTGTTGAAGCGGATTGTATTTGCATGCACGGCTACAAGTCCCTTTTGGATTCAGTGTTGGCAGTGGGACCCTCCTCTAATGTTATTTTATTAAATGTCAAGAGGAGGTTGGAAGTTGGCGTATTGGGAAGTAATTGGCCAGGCTGGATTTTTTCTGCTTTCCTCAGCACGTGGAAGTTTTACCAGAAGTGGGTGAGAACCTGCCTATCTTGACCGTGCTATCGGGGGGAAGCATTGAGTGGCTACTGGCAGCTACCAAACAGCATTAACTCCTGAAGCTCCTGCACCTGCCAATCAGATCATGAAGACTTTGTGACCTACCGTCATAGGAGCTGATCATCCAGGTGGCCACTTCCTTTTCCAAGACAGAACAGTGAATGTGTCCTTCAGTGACGGCTCATGAAACTTTGACCTGCTCCTTTGATAATCTTCCAGCTCTGTGCTCCAGGGAAAAGGAAGCACTAGAGAAATCCAGTAAAACAGATCCTCCCCTCATGCTCTGGGCCATCAGGGTGGATACTGCTATGAAGCTACACTCGATAGGGCTTGTCTAGTCATTCAGCGGGATACAGCTCTTCGGGGGGAGGGTAGGTTTTAAAGCATCATTATACTTGCTAGATTCCAAGGGTTTCTATTAATATTTCTAATAAATATTGTTTCAAAATCTCACTCTGTCCAGGTATTTTATATTTTCCCTTCTTAAGGCAGATTAACTGTTGCATCATAACTTGATAGAACTGCAAGGTACAAATATTTGTGAACACACCTTGGCACTAAACCATACACTGGTATAATTCTTCATCCTTTGAGCATGCCACCTTGTTCCAATCCTTGGTGTCATCACTGGCAATGCACTTCATTGTGCATGCTAAGTTTCTCATTCAGATATCTTCTTTCCTTCAGTCTCTGCACCAAATGGTTTCCTATCCTTGATGATTTCAATTTAGCTCAACTCTTCTTGCTTTCTTTTCGGAGTTCTCTGTTCTTCTTTCCTCTCTAAATCATTCCTAAATACAAACTCTCTTATCTATGTTCACGGCGATTCCCTTGACCTCACTATCTCCCATCACCTTGCTACTCCCTTCATGATTATCAGAAAAATCATCTCTGATCGTTCCTTCTTTATCCAATACCTCTCTTTCTGTGGGCAGTCCTAGAAACAGCTCTCCCTCAAGTTAACACTGACCCTTCAAATTCCCATCTGTTTTTGCTTTGGCCCTTTATTCATCATGATGTTTCTGCAGTTACTGATTTGCTACCTTATACCCTCTTGTGTATTTCTGAAACCCCCATTTAAACCAATAATGCCTCTCACCAAAGAGACATTGTCTTCAGTGCCTAGCACACACTCCATTCCTGAGCTTTTATCACGCTCACTCAAGCCATGCCAGACTGTTGCTCTGGTCAGTGTTGCATCTAATCTGAGAGGAACTCCCAATCACACACCCTCTCCGTAACCATGGCTACCTGCGTCAGAGCCTGACGGTCTTTAGACCTGACCACCTACAGATCTAACACCCAAAACTGAGTCATTTCATTCTTTGAATGGGGCAACGACCAACAATATTTTAAAGGTGTGACCAACTCAAGGTTTGCCCTGTAGACGTTGGACACATTTGAGTAGGATTACAGACTTCCATTGATGTAATAACAGTATCCCCCAGTGTAAGATTAGACCATGTGGCTGCATGGTGCTCACACCTTCAGTTCAAACTTGCTCTTTTTTCAGGTGGAAATCGCTGGATGGGAACCAAGAGCAGGGCATTGCCCTCTTTAGGCCAGAGGCAACACTGCAACCGCACGTACTAGCTCTGGAAGCTGCCTAGTCAGCTCAAGAGAGCAGTGTAAGTGGCTGTATTACTAAGCAAACTTAATTGAATACAATCTACCCAAGGGAATGAACCTGCAGCCTTGTTCTGTTATGCTCTCTGAAGAATTTATTTTTTTTAAATAATGAGAACAGTGTGAAAACAGTACATATAAAGAATACAAATACCATCACTTCAGAGACAATATAAATAATAAGTGTAACTTGACAAATAAAACTAGACAGATTGATAGATACTGGTTCCTTGAAGGGAAAAGTAATTCTACTGATAAGTACTTTGAAAATAGGTTACTTACAGAGAATCCTTCCCCTTTAATATTCCTCTGTTACAACAACCAAGTACTTTCTAAAGTGCTATTACATGTGTGTTAATATCAGGGATTGCATCAGGAAACAACCCATATAATGCAGGACAGTAAGGGCAAACATACCTGAACAATGCAGGAAACAGCACTAACTGTCCCCAAGTAATAACATTTCCAAAACATTCAACATTTCTGCTCATCACGTGAGGGATGATATTGTTACCCATTCCAGGCACCCAGTCACAGTGTCAATCACTCCCAGGACATGTAGAACATGGAGTTAGATACAAAGTAAAGCTCCCTCTTCACCATCCCCATCAAACAGCCCCAGGACAGGGTCAGCACAGTGTTAGATATAGAGTGAAGCTTCCTCTATACAGTCCCCATCAAACACTCACAGGACAGGAACATCACAAGATTAGATACAGAGTAAAACTCCTTCCACATGGTGCCCATCAAATATTCCCAGGATAGCAACAGCATGGAGTTGGATATACAGAGTAAAGCTTCCTCTATACTATCCCTACCAAATGCTCCCAAAACAGGATCAGCACAGGGTTAGATAGAGAGTAATGCTCTTTCTGCACAATGCCAGGGTTGGTATAGTTTAGCTGTTGCTGGGATTAACCTTCCCAGTACACGGCCCTTGACCCAGTGGCAAGCACCACTTCCCAAGTTAGGATCACTGCCCCAATTACTATTAGTTAACAGCACAGGCTGTGGGAATGAAACTTCAGATACAGACTCACCGGGCAATGTTTTCACCCTGAGCTGAACACGGCAAATCCCAGGTCAATGTATTTAAGGCTATCAACTTCTGACAAGCCTAAACACCTGTGGAAGAGTTCGCAAATGAGATGGGAACAGAAACCATCAATATGGGGCACATTCAAGGGCAGAACACAACCTTTTCTGGGTCTTTAATAATTAGCTTCCTGAAGTTCTCAGTGATGGTTTAAACATTACAGTTAGTGTTTGAGGTTTGTACACAAACTGACAGTATACAACAACAAAAAGCAGAACCCATCACTAGGATCTCAGTAAACAAAAGGATATTAAATATTTGTACTAATTATTAAGATCATTTACACAATAAAAACTCAAGTGGAGATGAACCATACAATGATGATAGAGATGCTGCCTGGAAAGTTAATGACAGCATTTCAAAAATGATTTCTAAAGGGCATTGCAAAGAAGAAATTTGCAGAGTGACAGGGTCAGAGCGAGAATGACTGGTCTGCCTCTTTCAAAGAGGCTGATTGGTTTCCTTTATTTGGAGAATCATTCAATGATTAATGTCCACTCGAGCTGCTAAAATACCTAACATATTGTATTTGTTTACTACATAACGTTGGTGAATGTAATCAATCAACCTTTGGAGAGACTAGAACATGCAGTAATGTACAACTGAATGCTTTATCCGTCAGACAAACTAAAAGCTATCCTCCCCGCTCTAGGCTTGTAATAGCTGGAAGATATGGTGCGCAGTGAGGGGTGTGAGAGAGAAGGAACAGGGGTCAGAGATGGCAGGCAGACAGACAGAGTGCTGGGTGCAAACAGGGCTGGGAGCTGCAGTAAGGCTCATGGGAGGTACAGTGTGGACGAATGAGTGCAGTCTGACGAGATCCATTCAGAACCTCACAGTGTAAAAGTGCACAGGGTGCATTGTGATATTCCTATATTACCATTAAACTGAAGCAACCCAGTGACAGCCTGTAGAACAAACAGTTTACTGAACTTCAGTAGTAAACACTCAATACTTAACATCTACATCAACCAGTGGTATAAATGGAGACATTCATTCTGTAACAAAAATAATGTAACTGTAACATGAATGCAGCTGTGGCAAACTCAACCAGTTAAATATGTGGTTTACACAATACGTTTTCAATGACACAGCTGCCAGTGAGAGGAGTGAGGTGTCTGAGGAATTTAAACATTGCAAAGAAGAAAAAGGAGGACAGACTGGGATCAACACTGACTAACATAACGATCTAGCCTGAAAACCACATGAGATTGCTTTCCTATTGATAATTGCATCTTCCTCAGAAACTATTCCTATGCAGGATATACAATCCCACACTAACTCTCTTCCTCACACACTACCCCTGTGCAGGGCTCACTCCCACACTAACTCTCTCCCTCACACACTACCCCTGTGCAGGGCTCACTCCCACATTAACTCTCTCCCTCACACACTACCCCTGTGCAGGGCACAAAGTCATGTTACCACATTCCACACTGACCTCGCCCTGGTGGTCATTCAATGGCCAAAGATAGTCCGGTGAGCACAGGCAGGCAGACAGCTGACCGGTCTGTTTGAAATGGTTCATGCCCTCCGTTAAAGTAACAACTCCAGACACACAGACCCACTGCCATCACCAGAAGGTACGTCCCACTGTGTCAACAGATGCTTGACTATCGAAAGCATCGCTGCAACTCCCTTTTTCTCACCCACGACCATACTTCTAGTTCTGGTGATAGGGAGTGGAACAGTGACTCGATGGCAGGGACCAGGGGCATGTCAGTACAGGGCAGAGGTCAGGGGAGAGACACTA